AATTCGGTGCGGGGAAGTAGTATTTCAAAGCCAACAATGAGGAGTGGTTTCCTCATGAATGTTTAATGAGTATGAGAAACGATGTTCAAGGGTGATTTTTGCGGCTTTATAGATAAATGTTTATTGGAATTAAGCTAGCTAATCTTAGCTAATACCAAGTTYCAAGGAATCGTGGTCTTAGCCGGGGTCCGATCGAAGAATTAATAGGAACCGAAATGGTCATAGCGAAAAGGTCAATAGGTGACATAACCCAAGRATAAATAGAAAGCACCGCAGGTATCCCAACCCAAGAATAAATAGAAAGYACCACAGATATCCCAACCCAAGAATAAATAGAAAGTACCACAGGTATCCCAACCCAAGAATAAATAGAAAGCACCACAGGTAACCCAACCCAAGAATAAATAGAAAGCACCACAGGTATCCCAGGGAGATAAATCTCAACTACACTGTTAAATTATTGCGCAACACTTACCTCATAATCAAAAAATGACGGTACGTCCCGTGAACCACACATGCTCCCTTCACTACCCCCTTCGAAGCTTGAGGATGATAGACCTGAGAAGGTGAGGTCACCAATGGAGGAGTCTGACGTCATAGATGACGCATGCGCATCGAATACTAGTGGAAGGAGTGATGACATGGATGAGTGAACAGGTGGAATGAATGTTTAACACTCAAACAATGGATTAGCTTCTTCCTATTCACTCCTTGAAAGTTTATACTTATTCGTTTCTTAAACCAGATTTATTTTAATGTTAGGACGTGCCGTGACCGTGTTGTTTCATTGGTTAAGCAGTAGCCCCTCGCGCTGTGATTGGTGGAAAGTATGTCGTCAATTCTGTTCTTTATTAAMAGTAACATTTATCATGCCCTTTGGCAATCGTATGTAATCTACTCTATATAGACATGAAGTCTAATAGATTTCTTGCATGTGACGTCAAATAAACTCAATTTGGAGCACAAAACAAGATAATTTCAATCTCCTGAGAATAGACCAGTTCCAAATTTCAAATTCCAAATTACCGCTGTGTTCCTTAATGACAGACTCATTTGCACAGGGTTAGCCTCGTATCAGTGTTTAAATATTCACAAATACCAACGGTAAAGTAGAGAATGCACAACTTCAACAATACAAACACTTTGAAACTCGACGGACCTTGACTGAGACACTTGAATATTCTGCACAAAACCGAGGCTAATCCTGTGTAAATGAGTCTGTAATCAAGAAACACAGCGGTATTTTGGAACTCGAAAATTGTATATTCCGTATGGCGCTGGAAAGCACAACAGGGCCGTAGCCACGGTGCCGTCGGTCTGGTCTTCAAACGGATCAATTAAATGAGTCTGTAATAGTATAGAACGGTCTGAACCCAGGTGAATGAATGTCAATCGAAGTATTATGATCATCCGGGTGGATGTAGTCCTGAGAAGGACTGTTTGATGTGACTGACGTTTTGACAACCCTGAGCGGAAGTCATCTTCAGAGTCAAGTGAAGAATAAAAGTCAGATTGGTCATATTTATACTACCACGATAACAAGTCTGTAATCTAGAAACACAGCGGTAATTTGGAACTCGAAAATGGTTTAATGGAAACTTATTGTTACGTCCTCCAAATTGGGCTGCATTCCGAAGTGCTGCAAGGGGTCTATAGAGCGAATAAACTTTGTACCAATAATCAAGAAAGAAAATTAATCCACTGCTTGATTACTTTACTGAATTATAGAGGCTTTGCAGCATCACTTGATTGTAGCCATGACAGGAGGCACAACAATAGAGTCTTTTTCCACTGGAAGACTGAATTATTTCTCATGTAAATCACATTAGACCAGATTCCATTGTTCCTGCCTCCTGTCATGGCTGCCATCACGTGATGGTGAAAAGCCTCTATAACGTACATGTCAAATCCAATGTTTATTTGTATACGTAGCTATCATGATACCAATGAATCAATGCTTTTAGTATAATTTTAGATTTGAATATAGAGTTTCTCGAGCTGTGATTGGTCGAGCGACAGGTGATTTGAGACGATAATCACTGCTGGAGCGGTGATTATGAGGTTTTCGAAAGTTTGCCAGAGCGAAAGTAATACAAAACGTTTTTTATCCTGAATTTCGACTTTTCTCTGATATTGAAGCCCAAAATTRTATTAAAACGATCATCCCCCTCAGACTCAGTGATTATGGTGAATATTTTCCTCGCTGCTCGAAGACTCGCGTCTCAGTAAATATTCCACCGATAATCATTTCGCCTTTGGCCTTTAATTGTTAAATAGACGCAGCATTGATTCAATGTACATGTCGATGTTGTACAGATATGATRGTCAAATGCACATGTCAATGTTGTACAGATATGACGGTCAAATGCACATGTCGATGTTGTACAGATATGATGGACAAATGCACATGTCAATGTTGTACAGATATGATGG